ACATGTAATCTTACCCACATGCTGTATAGATCACTGGAAGGAAACACTTTATCCACTAACCATGGGCTCAGCTTAAAAACATCATCACCAAAGACTGCTGGCACCAGCAGTGGAGCTGAGGTGATGAGCTTCCCCTGATATCTGTTCTAATCTGGGAGGCAAAAGAGGTTGCACAGTACCAGCAGCAAGATATATGGAGAAAGCACAGTCTGCACTAGAGATTGATTTAATGAGTTTTTATAAAGTCTTTTATGTCAAAACCAGCTTACAACAGCCTTATCTGAGACACTATCTAATATCAATAGCAGTATGCAGCATCTTGTTATCTCTTCACATTTACCATTCATACTCTCTGAAGTTATCCAGAAAAAATGTGCTTTGTGGGAGCCACCAAGCTCAATTTTTTTGTCTATTTAATGTCTGACATTTAAATTTGTCTTGAACTAACAAAGGGTGGGAGGTGACAATTTTATTTCATAAAACCTTTCCAAGTTTGGACTGGAAGAGAAACATCTTTCAGCATCTTCACAAAAATAATTTCAAAACATCTATTTTCCTATCTAAATTACAGAGAAATATCTGTAGGAGCTGAGACTGGAATGGGAGATGCATGTGTTTAACATCTTCTAATTCAAACTATAAATCCTCCTTAGATCAAAATACTTTAAATATATAAATGCATATATGGGAGCTTAAACACAGACAACCTCCCCCCCAAGCCAGTGCACTAACTTCCATATAACCTTCTGAATGGTGGTATTACTGAAATTATATAAAAGTTAATTGAAAATACAAACAGGTTTACTTCAATAGTAATTTTTATTGGAAAATGTTCCCATCTTGCTCCAGTTGTAAGAATCAAATACAAAACTGAAGGAAAGCAACAGTTACGAGAGAGAACTTTCCTATCATCCTGAACACTAGAGGAAAACATTACTTCACTATCTAGGCCCAGATCAGAAGCTTCAATCCCTACATAACCTTCATGTTAGCTTCTTAAGGAAAATATCTCATAAAATGGCAGCTATTGAAGTGAACTTCCCAGTTGGAGACTCAGACTGCAGAGATTTTTGCATCCCTTTGACAACTTACATGACTACATACAAAGCATAACAACATAAACTGATTTAAAGAACATTTTCTTCTTCAGCATAAGCAGCTCCATTAACCAGCTCACTATTTAAGATTAACACAAGTCCATAAAGCAGGTGTTTAAACAGACCTGGTATTGATCTCTTCAATCTGGAATGAATTTTACTGCCAATGCATGGACACATGCTTTTAATATATATACAATAATGAATTGTCTGTGTCAAGACAAGAGGCTGTAAAAATATGAACCCAGCATTTTGACTGTTTCATGCTAAATTTCATTAGATAATAAAATGGCTTAATGAATCAGGTCTGCAGCTTCTTCTGCAAAGTGCTCACCACTGAACGCTACCCATGGCAAATTTGCTAGCAGACGCATCTAGCTACTGCAGTCTGAACAGCCCAGCTAGAAGTGAAATAGGCAGAAAACCCATCCAAACATTATCCAGTGGATTACAAGTGACAGAACAAATAAAAAAATACAACAGACATCTGAAATGGGAAATCACTCTTGAATGTGAAGCAGTTGGTATTGAAGAACATCCAAAACATGCCTTACCTGTGTAGTGCACCACACACGTCTGACCCTTCTTTGGAAATGTCCGTCCTGTTAAAATTATAAAAGGTTAATCTTTTATTTTCTCTGATTGACCTGGCTATGCAAGTTTATCTTTTAAGAGGAAAATGCTGAACTGGTATTAGCCATTTGGTTACATTAGGATACCTGAGACATCCACATGACAGCTGTAGATTTAAGTGGCTCCTCATACAACTTGGAGCAAACGTCTTACAAAGAGTGGCTGAGGGAGCTGGGGGTGTTTGGCTTGGAGAAAAGGAGGCTCAGAGGGACCTAATTGCTCTCTACAACTCCCTGACAGGAGGTTCTAGTGAAGCGGGGATCAGTCTCTTCTCCCAGACAAGCGGAAGATAAAAGTGAGAGGAAATAGCCTCAAGTTGCACTGGGTTAGGTTTAGATTGGATATTTGGAACATTTCTTCACAGAAAAGGTTGTAAAGCATTGGGTAGTAAAACACTGACTGCCCAGGCAAGTGGTGGAGTCACAACCCTTTCAAGTGTTCAGAACACACACGCATATGGCATCTGAAGGCACGGTTTAATGGTGAACATGGTAGTGGTGCCGGGTTGACGGCTGGACTTGATGATCTTAAAAGTCTCTTCCAACCTTAACAACTGCATGATTCTATGACTGTGTGTTACCAAATCACTAATATGCAACACAGGAATGGGATGGTTTAGGGCAAAAGGTCCCAGTTTGGCTGTGTTTAGCTCTTAGACCAAGTAGTATTTTTCCTAGATAAGTCTCCCTATATATACACGTGAATTACATATGCATTTACATTCTGTAAGTGCAAAAGGACAGTCAAAATCTCATGGATTATAACTTTTAATAATTCTCAGAATGTTTTTGCTATAATTTTTCAAATAAAGTCTCAGTCTGACATTGTGAGAAAATCCATTTGTATTCACATCTCTAATGCCTTCCACGCAAGAAAGACAGCTCTGTGAGGGCATCTTTAATTAGCAGGAATGGGGTTTACAGAAATTTTCACAGACAAAAGCAGTTTAATTTTGTAGCATCAGGCAACAGTAAAGCAGTAGTACACTGAGTTCTTTTAAGAGCTTGATAGCTCCTCCTAAAATGTTCATAGTGAAAGGAAAAAAAGCTTAAATTATTTGCTTGACACAAGATGAAATTACCATTTCCATTTTACTTGTTCTAGGCACTGCTAAAGGTACTGAAACCTAAGGGATGACTCTCAAGGCTCAATTAGGTGCCAATGGTGTATTAAAGATACTAACCATGATTTCTCAAGGTTGGCCAGGGGAGTGCCCAGGTTCAGAAGAAATTAAAAATATCAGTGTGGTTAATTATTAAGGAACATCCTTGATAGAAAGTTAAAAACTGGGGATTGAGTTAGGTTGTCCACAAAAGCTGTGGATGCCCTATCTCTGGAAACATTCAATGACAGGATTGATGGGGCTTGGAGCAACCTGGTCTAGTGGAACATGTCCCTGCCCATGGCAGGGGAGTTGGAAGGAGATGATCACTAAGGTCCCTTCCAACCAAACCATTCTGTGATTCTATGAAACTGAGGCTCATCTCTTAGTTGGCTTTTTGGCTGTTTGGTCAAAATTAACATGATAACAAGTTCTGCATTACAGAGCACTTCAAAGGGTATAAACCAGCAGGTAGCACACAAGCTATGGCCTTAGGGATCACATGCCAAAACCACATGAGCAATAAGTGGTGAAGGGCAGGATAATATGATGAACCAAGATTTACAACACAAAAATTGATAAAGTGGTACTTCTAAGGGCTACCTGAACAGCCTCGTTCATTGGCTTGGCTGGCTGGAATATCCCTCATTGCACGTTGCACAAAATGCAGCAGGAATCTTTTAAGGTCACCATGGTATGCTAAAGTGGGATCCATCTCTTTTAAATTCACAGCCATTTAAACCACGGGCAACTATCGCATGCCAGTCTCCTGGGCTTCCTCTATTGACAGCAAAGAATTAGCAGTGCTTTGAGAGAAAGCCAGCCTATCCAAAGGAAGGCAAGACAAATTATTCCCTCGAGATGGACACAGAGAAAACCCAGAAGACTGCTTTAGACTAGCCAACTAACCTGAGAAAAGTTATGTGAGAGGAATCCTACCGCCAATAAAACAGGTATTATTAAAATGATCCACTATTATACAGAGATCTGAGAAAAGCAGTTTCAGACCTTATGGACACACACTCTGCTCTGTGAGTTTACAATCAGCAAAGCCAATGAAGCTACATAATTTCACATCAAAAATAAATTAAAAGCAGAGATTCGCAAGACCACTGACTCACTGTGGCTTAAGACAGTGTTTAAAGTCAGCTGATTTTGATTAAGACTTGCAACCAAGAGAACTAATCCATATAGCCTTATTTGGAATCACATATTACTTACAATGACAGCCGTGATCTATTTAATAGATAGTAAGTACTACTGTGAGGTAGTTCCATCCTCCTTCCTACTCCCAACTCACCACCATTATTTATGTGGGTATAAGTATTCTTTTTTTACATCTGTGAAACCAAGAGAAGAATTCGATCTCTAGAGCAAAACAGCACAGAGGGAGAAGCCAATTAGAAAGCATACACAAAGAATGGAAAGATACTGGGCCAAGAAACTTAATCTGCAATCAACTTGAACAAATTATTTATGGTTGCATATCAGCCAGTGATGAATCTGGCCTATTATATAGCTACATTTGTATGTTAGAAATCACATTATCTTAAAAGAAAAAAAAAACCAAAAAAACAAAACACAAAAACCTTACGGAATTATAATGCCAAGGAAGAGTAGAACACTGCGAATTGGCTCACGAAAGCCAAGCGCCAAGGAGAGGTGACTGCCACCCGGGCTGCACATCAGCCCTCGCCAGCATCCCACGCTGGACCGGGAGGCGGCGGCGCCTTGCCGGGGGATGCCGGCACGAACGGTCGGTGGCCCCGGCGAGGCCGGGCTCGCCACCGGGGAAAGTTTGGGCTCCCCGCCGGGCGCTGGCGCTGACCCCGCGCTCGGGCCGTGCAGCTGTCAGCGGATGCCACAGGAACCCCGGCCCCCTCGCCGCCGCTGCCGCCGCCGCGACCCCGGGCGGGCGCCTGGCCGCGCTCCGCCTCTCCCGCACCGGGGGTTCGTGCCCGCGGCGCTGCGGGGGCGGCCGTGCCTCCCTCCCGCCCGCCCGCTCCCCGCGCTCCCCGCGCTCCCCGCTCCGCCGCCGGCGGGGACGCGGCTCCCTCGCTCCCGGAGCCCCGCGGTGTCCGGCCGGACCCTCCGTCCCCGCGCTGCGGGGCTGCCCCCGGCACGGCTTCGTACCGTCTCCCGGAGAGATGGTCTCGATCTCCACCCCCATGGCGGCACCGGCTCCACTCAGCCCCGCTCCCCGGCGCGGCCGGACCCCCAGTGCGGGCAGTGCCCCTGGGCGGCCGCGGGCAGGGGCCGCCCCGGCTGCCCGTCAGCGCCCGCAGCCAATGCGGGGCAGGGGCGGGGAGGACGGGGAGGGGAGGGGAGGGGTCCGCCCGCCCCCGCTCCGAGCGCCCGGGGGCCGCGGGGACCAGGGGAACCTTGCGGCGGGGGCATCCCCCGCCGGCATCGCTCCCCCACCCCACGGCCGTGCGGAGGGTGCTGCTGCCATCCCTCGGGCAGGGCTGGCTTTAGCGATGGTGCCCGGCGGAGCGCTCCTCCGGGGGTCTCGCCGGCGTTTCCCCCCGGTGCCCGTGCCCGTGCGCAGTCCGAGCGGCGGAGGGCTCAGGGCGGCTGCGGGAGCAGGGGGTACCGGTGCGGTACTGCTGCAGGCGCGCTGGCCACACAGGGAAACCAAGCGCCGTGCTTCAGCCCGTCCAGACACCAGGACACGGCCGAGTGCGAGTGGAGGGTCGGAATTTCCCGGTACAAAGAGCCATGGAGGAAGGCATCCGTGCTCGCACGACGTGTGCGCTGAAGGGAATGTCCCCCCGGTTCTACCGGTGAACGGCAGCATCGGGGCAGTGGTACCCACCGCTGGTGACCCCACACAGCAGCAGCAGCGGCAAGTCTCCAGCAGGCTGGCATGACCTTGAGTTGCAGTGTAAAACAGTGTCTAAGTTCCTATTCATATCCATGTTTTAAACTGGAAAATCTATTTATGTGTGGTGTTCCCATGATGTAAGATTACATATTCAACCTTGCTACAACTACTTCTGGGGAATGTACCTGAAACAGACTATTTCCTCATGCACTTACAGTGTATTCGAATCTCAGGAGTTTCCACTGCCTCTAAAGGAATAGTTCTGTTTGCAGTTCTGTGTTTTCTGAGTTAAAAATAAAAATGGAACCACAACGTCATCAGTTTTTCAACTGAAAGAGCTGTCTGTATCCATCTAATTCCAACTTGCACTTCTCTGACATTGCTTTTTCAAGATTTTTATCTGCTACAAACTGGGTTCTCTTCAGGGAAAAGGATCTTTCTCTGTGTGGGCAGTTGTCAGGATGACTGAACTGAGGAATTACTGTGCTGGTTCGTAACTGCAATAATGTGGCCCTTGCTCTTGCATGCATGCTCTGAACTACACTGACCATCTCCACACAGCTTTTCACATTACTCTGATCAGACTGTTTCTTCTCCTGGGTGCTCAATTGTATCTATCTTTCTTTGTGGGTCAGATACTCTGAAATACCAGGACTGGCTGCCTCTCACTCCCAAAAATGGGCAGGTGAGGAAAATCAAGAGCTCACGCGAGTTCAGAAGCAGTAATGAGGGCTGAACATGGATTCCTTTCACCTGCCTCCCATTCCAGTGAATTCTGCATCTGCAGGTAGCATGTACAGAATAAGCAGGCACTTACTGAAGTTTATCAGAGGAGGTCTGTAACAGTGGAAATTCTGAAACGGGATTCTTTTCCATTGCCAGTCTCAGAGTGTCATTTGACTTCTGATCAGTAGAAAGATACTAAAAATGCATTTGAGAAATAGGAAAATGCCAGGTAGGAGGTAAGTGGCACAGAAACATGTGTCTTAACACATGAACATTGCTAATTCCAGAGGTGCCTCTGAGTCATTACAAAGCAACAAGGACAGCACAAGAAAAGCTGAGCACATAAGGGGAGTTATAAAGGGAAATTCTAGGTACATGGTGTCCTACACCCCCTCTTGACTTTACAAGAAAGAACTGCTTTCATCCAGGCTCCAGGTAGATGTCTGTGTCCTCTCAGATGATCAGAGCATCAGAAGGCATAAATGCAATGAACAAAAGAAAATGATTCTTTGCTGTGTTCACTTTAGCTTTTATAATTGCATGTTTCCTTTGATCAGGCTACACATCTCTCCACAATGGGAGAATAGGTTTCTCAAGTTGTGTCTTGTGACAGGAGATTGGACCTAATCACATAATAGACATAGTTCAGATGGGATCACAGAATATCTCCTTCAAGTTTCATCATAAGTAACAGGCCTTAAAGGCAGATCACAGAATACTCAGGCAGACTGACAATCATAATAAAAAAGCAAAGGCCACCAACAGCAAAATTCAGAAGCCACAAAATGGGATTAGGAGGGACCAAGCTGTGGAAAATGTTGTATCTACAATCTTCCTATCCGATAGCCTCTTGCCCCATGGTGAGACTGTAAATGCTTCTTTAGGGCATGAGTTAATTAGATCCCCCACACTCATTTTCCCAAGACTATGGAAAGAAAGGTAAGGCCAATTTCCAAGACAGAAAATAAGGATCTGTAGAAAGCATATCAAAGTTGTTGGATGAATATGTTAAAAAATCTTTGACACCACAGATATTGAACCAAAAATAAAGTTATTTTTCCCCTCACAGTATTCACTGGAGGCATCGAGATCCTTAAATACATGCTATAACAAGTCTATAGCACATGAAGATCTAGGAAGAGTAGACTAAAATGAGGAATGCCCACATCTTCAGGAAAGGCTCTGAAATACAAGAAAATGTGGTTTAAAACTGGCAGGGAATTGGAGGGGAAACAGAAAGGACAAAGGGACTAAGAGGGAAAGTTCATGACCAAGAAAATTGATAAAATCAGATTATCAAAGCAGACCAGATTAGTGTATTAAGAATGCTCTTTGAAAGTCATTGCATGTCATTCACCTGCACCACCTTTGGGATCCAGTGTATCTGTTTCAAGGGCAAAGTCCAGTAGTCTCTCTCTCCAAAGCTCTGTAGAGCTCACGTTCCAAGTTGTTTACCACAAGACCTTCCCACAGCATGTTTTTCTATCCTGGCACCAGAAAGACCAGGCTGGAAAAGTGGAGGGCTCTCTCAACACTTATTCCCAAATATTTTGATAGAACCACATGACTTCAACATCTAAGATTACTCAGTGGTCACAAAGAGGACAATTTGCCACAGTCATTATGAGAAAAACCCAAAACCTCAAAGTTTAGCAGATGAATATCCATCCCTGTTTTTTTTGTTTTTTTGTTTTTTTTTTTTTGTAGTTAAAACCCCTACAGCCAGCACTGTTTACAAAATATTTATGCATTTCCACTTTTAGGAAGACAAACAGTTTTCAAATTTTTTAGGGTGTTTTAACGTTGTTCATAGCTCCTATATTGTGAAATCCCATTCTTCATTGTTTTTAAAATCTACAAAGCATCTACAAATCATGTGTAATAGATTCCATATGCACACAAAGAACACCCCTGGAAGGCAAAGCACTAAATTTTCCATAAATGGAAAGCACAAATTCTGCAAATGTAAAAATTCACAGAGGCCACAAAACACCCCCAAGAATGCACATTTCCCTCACCAGCATCCATGGATAAAAAGCCAGCATTGCTTTGAAATCCAACCAGTGTGATATGAATAGTGAAAACAAACTAAAAATGTGTTACCAATACTGACCTTTCCATTCAGTGAACCAACATGTGCAACCAAGTAATTTTAATCCCAAAGTGTACAGGTCATGCAAAAACAGCACCTCACTGGAAAAAATCCTGACCAAAAAAATAGCAGCCTGCAGAGCTCAGCAGGTCATGTCACTGCGAATGTTCCTGTGCATCATGAGCATTGACAAAAGAGAGTCAGCCAGAATCCATGATTCCTCTCAAAGCACATGCTTAGGGTAAGTCTGACAGCACACCCACAGTGACAGCCATGTGATTAACAGATGAAACCCAAAAATCTCATTGTGCCTGTCTCACTTCTCACCACTGCTGGTTACCACAGGTCTGCAGCACAGTCACCTCCTCCCAACTGATACTTGTTCCAAATGCCCCAAAACAGAATAAAATTTCCTCCTGAAGTGATTATTCTGAATCCTCATCTTCCTCTTTGAACTACTTATCCACATCTGTATCTATAGTTTCATCTTGCAGCTGTAGCTCTGAGTGCAAACTGCAGCTGGATTTTTTCAGTAACACTAAAACTGCCTTGAAAGCCACCACCTCTCTCACCAAGCTCTTCTCAACTCAGATGTTCACATATTCTCTCACAACACTTATATGTGAGTCATTATTAAGGTCTCAGACCTGATCTTCAAAGCCTTTTACAGGACCAGGTGAGGTAACCTCAGGTATGCACAGGGAAGACTCCAGCTCATCAGGATATATGCCAGCAGCTACTAGAGTCAAGAAATTGCTAGTCAAGTTCTGGAATGGAAGTAAAAATTCCACTAGACCAATATCTTAATAATGAAGCTTGCTTCCAGAAGAGATTAATGCAATTTAACACTTCCAAAACCACATGAATTTAGACAGACTCATAGTCTCACATACTTGTCTCCCCAGTACAAGGACATACTGCAGCAAGCCCAGCCATTCCAATGCTTTTAGTGGTTGGAGAACATGGAGAGAAGGAGGGAGCTGGTTTTGGGAAGCTCTGTATTCTTCAGCCTGCAGAAGACAGAGAGAAGAAGGATCTCAGTTACTGTCTACAACTATCGAACAGGTGGTGGAGAGGATGGTATCACACTCTGCTCAGAGATGCCCAACAAAAGGACAAGAAGCAATGGACACAAGTCATAGCAAGGGCAATTCTGACTATATATGGATAAAAAAATCTTCAGAAGATGAGTTATCAAACAAGGCCTAAAGGAACCAGAACAAACTGATGTCAGCTGTGTTCCAAGCAAGAAATTGAACCATATGGCCTCCAAAGATCCCTTCCCCTAAACTGATGTATGAGTCTGTAATATTTTTCATGCAACATGGAGAAGGAAATGAAAAAATGGTAGTGAGGTTAACCACAATTCCAACATTGACTGCAGGATCTTAAATCAACTTGCAATGCATAATGCTTCAAAGTGGTTAATACACTAGCTAGCACCTCAGATGCAATATAAATATGAAATTGCAACATCCATCCAGACTAATTAGCACACATGCAGATTGCTGCAGTGATATCACTTCACTGCCTACTCCTTTGAAGGCAGCTTGCTGAATTGAAATTATGCTCTGAATTGCTCTGTCTCAATATTTAATTTATATAGGAAGAATGATCATTCTACCTCATTTATTTATAAGAGATATTTATATTATATCTCATTATAATATAATGATAATATAATATTCCAAATACTTCAGGGGAAGAGATCCTCTTTTATTATAAATAAAAGAGGGCAAATCACACCTTAGGACCCAGAAACTAAACTCAGGGTCATGAAGTGCAGTCTCACAAATAAAATTTCCAATAATAACAATATCTTAAGTAGACAGTCCAAGAGGACTTAATTTTCTCTTCCACACAGTAGTTCATAGCAAAAAATTGATTTTAAAAGTAAGTAAATCTATCTTTCAAACTGTGGAATAGTACTGGAATTACATATATTGCATTTATTCTGTAAACTAATTATTCTGGCTCTGTCATTTATTTGCCATGGAAGTTACAGAAGAATGTCAGTGGCCTTGAGAAAATTTGTATTTACAGGGCAACACATTTTCTGCTTTCTTCAGTAAAATTATTTCTCTATAGTTTTGGTATTTATTCTACTTGGTGGAGAAATGTCACTGGCAAGACATATTGGAAGCAGTTCAAACAACAGGAGAAAACCAAACAAGCCACAAATATTATCTACAAGCTTTTGATTAGTCTTTCAATGATTTTGGAAAATG